TGCTCAGGCAGGAAACCCTATACCATTTCGGACAAATGGCTGTCCAGTCTCTTATTAAAAACTTCCAGTGTTGGAGCATTCACCGCTTCTGGAGGCAGGTTGTTCCACTGGTTAATTGTTCTCACTGTCAGGAAGTTTCTCCTTAGTTCTAGATTGCTTCTCTCCTTGATTAGTTTCCACCCGTTGCTTCTTGTCCTGCTTTCAGGCGCTTTGGAAAATAGCTTGACTCCCTCTTCTTTATGGCAGACCCTGAGATATTGGAACACTGCTATCATGTCCCCCCTCGTCCTTCTCTTCGTTAAACTAGACATACCCAATTCCAGCAACCATTCCTTATATGCTTTAGCCTCCAGTCCCCTAATCATCTTTGTTGCTCTTCTCTGTACTCTTTCTAAAGTCTCAACATCACTGTTTTGTTTTTTGTTTAAGGATGCAGACTTTAGATGGTTGGGATCAAATGAATATTCTAGATCCATTTGTCTTCTCTAGTTCAAAATGAGCTGCTTAGAGATGTTTCAGTTCCAAGGTGGCCTTCAGGACTGAGTAAAATGCAGGAATAAATAATCTATGACTAAAGGTCTCATAAAGTATTTTAGTATTCATTCATCCCATGATTTTTTATTCATATGGTGTCAGTCAATATTTATGTGCATTCATATGTGTAGACAGAATAGATATATGTGAATTGTTAGAGACAGATTGCTAGATAGCAAAATAGCAACGTGCAGGAGAAATTAGTTTCCATGATTGCTAAATCTTATTTTGGCAAAAAAAATTGTATGTTTAAAATCATATAATGGAAAGAAAAATTTCTTACTCCACTGTTCATTGATGTAATCTGTAATTGTCCTTCCTTTTCATTCAACTTAGTCCTAATTTTTGCGGATGCTTTTGTTTTAGCAAACTTAGATCAAAAGAGAAAGACGCAAAAATAAAGCAGCAGGTTGAAGACTCCCAACCTGGCCAGTACTGCTCCTTCCCAGAAATGGGAAGGCCTGGAAATAAAACTGGAAAAAATGGGGGGTTTTCCATTTTTTTTTCAAAACTGTTTTTTTTCCGGAAAAACTGGGAAAAAAGGAGTGTGGAATTATGTTCTTTTCCAATGATAAATAATATATATATGACATTGTATTCAAACTACATAACATG